TATATATATATATATATATATATATATATATATATATATATATATATATATATGTTTCGAATCCGGTTCGAAGGACCAGTTGTTTCGTATCCGGCTCGAAGGACCAGATATTTCGAACGGCCCTAGGATGGAGAGCGGCCGGTTCGTGTTGCTAGATGCGGCTCGAGTTCTCGTCGCGTGAAGACCGCGGTCTTCGTCGCCGATAGTCTGCTATCCAGCGGCCCCGTGAGATGACGTGGGGCGCAAGCGATTCTCGATCTTCCTAGGGATGCGAGTAAACTCGCCTCCGCTTGTCGTGGGTCGCCGACTCGGATAGAGCGAGCTGTCTCAGTCGAGGCGGTGGCCGCCCTGCGGTATTTCACCGCTTCCAAACGCCTCCGCGCTAGGAGAAGTCCCCCTTGTCGGAGGGATAATAATACTGTCGCGTGTGCGACGGAGACTAAGTCCCGTCTTAGTGGCTCGCGTGGAGACTGCGCCCTGGCAGTAAGGTAAAGGCGAATGGAACTCGCCTGAGGGCTGCCCCTTCGAAGCGGCTAAGTCTTGTGCGGACTTAGAAACGAGCGTAACTCGCGTGCTGAGTCACGTACGCGACGCCGTATAAGTCCTGAGTTGACTTATAAGCGAACTTGGCTCACGTGAGTGCTGCGTTCCTAGCAGCGGAGCAATAGCGAGCGTGACTCGCGTGAGAGCTGCGTCCTTGGCAGCGAAGGAGTTCTCGAAGAGAGCGAAGACTCGCGCGGACTCGTGCGCCCGACAGTAAACGCGTGCTGTCGAACTGATGCACGATATCTGCAAGACGTGAGATATATCGTGAAGGGAAACGTCCACCGCGGTGGAGGCTTCGAGGTAATCCGAAATGGACGCGCGAACCTCTCTCGTAAACGTCGATCGTATCGAGAAGGTGGAGATCCGCGGAGTTACCTAACTATCTCGTACATATTATGCCAACGTGTCCTTCGACACTCTAAAGACAATAGCCCAACGTGCAAGCGCACTCAAGAAGGCCGTGGAGATCAATGCAGAGATGCAAAAGAATACCTCGCTGAGGCAGTGACCGTGATGCGCACCGGCAATCAAAGGCTTAGAGCCGTACCGGCGTCTTATATAGGCGCCGAACCGAAATTTAACTGCGAGCGACGGCTCCGACTCGGCTCGCTGCCGCGTAGCGGCGACGGCGCGCAGCAGCGGCGAGCGGTATCTGCCCGTGAGCGGAATGCGTCTGGCGCGCGGCCGCCCGCCGTACTCTGTCCGTGCGGATGACAGCGTCCGTACGGAACAATGTATTATTAGCTCATTTATATATATGTTTAATTAAATCAATTGAATCTTATATGGTAAGGTGGATTTTTTCCTTTTTAATTATTTACTTAAGCTCCTTTTACTTTACTCCTTTTTAATTACGTACTTTTTTATAATTGCTAAAATTTAAGGACGTAGGAGCTGATGGAAGCCATATTGAATAATTTCCCTGATTGCACCCGTACGTGGCAAGTACGTTGCAGTGACGTGTTAACTCGTCGCAAGTAACGTTACAGCGACGTCGTAACTGATGTTGAAACGTAACTATCACATCGTTGGTAATACGTAACAGTAAATACATTCTTTTTCTGATGACAGAAACGTTGCAGTGACGTGTAATATGCGACTTTTGCGATGAGCACCTATTGGCGACCTCAAAATAACAACCCAATTATGAAAAGTTAAGATTATTTTTAACGTATCATTTACATTGAATCCTTGACAAACAAAATACATGATCGTGCCACGCATACCTATAACCTCGAAATTTTACTCCAAGATCAAGGTCAGAGTCACCATTATATGTCCCCCTTTAAATCTTGCAACTTTTGTATTTAAAATTTCTTCATCTTTTTTTACTTTCTGAGTAATTCGCTTGGGGAAATTAAAATGAAACACCCTGCATCTCTCTGATTTTTTTTTATTTTTGAAATATTTGGACTAAAAGTTTATTTGTATAGTTGTACTGAATAATATTATAAAAAATAAAATTACTGCTTTGGTTGCATATGAGGATAACAAAAAACACTTTGTATCAGTTGAAGAAGTAACTAAGGTGATATATTATACTAGCAACGTGGAGGTATCTGCAGTTCTTGTAACATAATTATGTATTTTGCCTGTTAGATATTATGCATATAACCTTCAGAAAAAATATACTATTAAGAACTGTAAAAATTGTAGGAAAGCTGAAGCAAATACTATAGAGAAACTGTTCAGTATACTATTGGAAGTACAAATAAGTCTCCGCCATTTTTTATAAAAAAATTGGGCATTTATTGTGAAAGAACGGTACCTTATGTTTTATTCAAAGTATTGTCCATCGCTAGCCACTACTTTTTCCCATCTTTCTGGCAGCATACGGATACCACGTCGGAAAAACGCTTCATCTTTTGCTACCCACGAATCGACCCAATTTTTGATATCTTCATATGATGTGAAGTGCTGCTCAGACAGGCCGTGCGTCATCGATCGAAACTAGTGATAGTCAGAGGGAGCAATGTCTGGTGAATACGGCGGGTGGGGTAAAACTTCCCAATTGAGCGTTTCTAAGTAGGTTTTGACCGGCGCCGCAATATGTGGACGAGCATTATCATGCAGGAGAATAATTTTGTCGTGTCTGGAGTAGTAGTGGGCGTGTTTTTCCTTGAGTGCTCGGCTCAATCTCATTAATCTCATCATGTGTTCGGTAGAGAGCCCCAGTAATGGTTTCGTTTGGTTTGAGCAACTCATAATACACGACACCAAGCTAATCCCACCAAATACACAACATGAGTTTTTTTCCATGAATATTCGGCTTGGCTGTCGATGTTGAAG